CTCTTCGTCACGTTTCTCTCGGAAGTTTGGGATCGCTGCTCCCCATCACAGCCCGGTCGGGGCCCTGCTTCGCCACCGTGGAAATTCGTGGCTCGTTTAAATACTTCGTAGCAGGCATGTTTCTGATGCAAGATATTCAGACCGCTCTAATTTATGCATTTGGGGAAAAGAAATCAATAGCTGAGGTGGCTTTTCTTTTCGTTTGGGATCATTTTTTTCCCCCCTCCTAGTCCACCATCCCCCTGGGGTGTTAATTCACTCGCACCTAAACTTGCAGCTCTTTTTCTGCCTGCCACCCCATCGTCAGGCAGAACAGAAATAACCACCCTTACATTTTAAGGGCTAAGAGGAAGGTTAGGGAACACCCATCTCCCGATAAAATAATATTACAAATGGCTTTTTTGGGGGTGATGTTTCTATTCGGTGAGTGATTCTGGGGGGCTGGCGGGCAGCCTTCCCCCTGCGGGGGTATCTGCACCTCCTGGTTCAGGTCTGCACGTACCTTCGGCGAGGATCACCTCGGGTTTGGATCGCTCCGAGCATATTAAATCGAGAATTTAAGAGTCCTCCATCAGACAAAAGGTGCCGTTCTCGGTTCCTTCCTTTCAGCCCGCGTGCTGGTTTTCAGCTACCGGTGGGGAAAAAAAACTATCTTAAAATGCCCCATCCCTAAACTCTCCTGGAGTCTTTCGAGAGACAAGAGAAGATCCCGTTGAGTCGTTTYCCCCCTCGTTGTTAGGATTATAGAAGCATCTTTCCGAGGCGTCCTTTTGCCACTAAAAAACTCCACGTAGAGATCTCTGCCCTTTTGTTGTGTCTAGCTGGGTTATTCAAGAGCAGAGACAAAAGCCCGAAGTGATGTGATCTAAATGAGCTCCGGGGTTTTCCAGATGGGACCACCTCCATTCCAAATGCCCTTTCTGCTTAATATAATAAAGTGCTATTTAAAAAAAAAAAAAAATACTACTTAGAAAAGAGCTTTGCTCTAAACCAAGCAACAGAGGCGAAATCTACACAAAAGTACTTTTAAAAAAAACCTCAACTTTGCCTCCGAAATTTTGTTAGGAGAAGAGGTTTTATAACAATACCTTGTGTGTCTGCTMCTTACACGGCTGGAAGTTTCAATGGGTTGTGGAGGGGTGGGAGGAGGGAATGGATTCGCGCTAGGGGTGGTTTTCTTTGTGGTTTTTTAAACGCACCAAGGTTATCTTGCTTCTCGTGGCCTCTCTGCTAYAATATTTAAGCGCTCTGGAAGTAAATAAAGGCCACGAGGCTGGGTTGGGGTGGTTTAAACTTGGCCGCTTTTCCCCTCTGCTCGYTTCTACACGAAGCGATCCGCAGCGGGAGAGCAGTGAGCTGCTGTCGCCTCCCGCTCGACCGCTCCAAGGCAGAATCGCGAYAGRGAAGGGRAGAGGAAAAAGGAGTCAAGACTCGKTTTTAGCCCTTCCAGACTTCTGCGGGAGTCTGTYCACCTTTCCCACTCCTCTCTTAGGAGGTGACTGCAAGCCAAATGGCAACAGCAAACAACGAAATAAATGGGAGAAATTGGAGTCGAAATCAGGACAGGAGCCCGATCTGCACCTTCCCGTGAAGGGGGGTACGGACACCCCACCTCTAGTGGGGATTTCGTCGTGGTTAGGATGGGCTCCATCCAGCCCGCGGAAACCCCGATGGGGTTGGCGGCAGCCGGAGCAGCCCCGCCGGACCTCGCCCGCTTGGGGACACCTGCGGGATCCTCCCGGCCGCTGCGAGAACCAACCTTTCCCTGCCAAAGACAGCTCACCYCCGCCATGCCCTTACTGGGGTCGCGCTACCCCATGAGGTTTCCCAACAAGTTTAAGTAAGAAAAAGTAGAGTACGGTGTATTCYTGCCCCGCTTCTCCCCGGTGCTGGTGCAGGCCAGTTCCTGTCCCAAATTCAGTGGCTTTTGCACCCTCCTCTCTCCGCAGGAACTGTGACACCCCGACCTGTGGGTTTCAGATTTCCCTTTCAAGGGAACGGAGGAAGCCACTCTGTTCTTACAACGGAATTCAAAATTGTCAACAACATCGAGCAAGTGAAACAAACAAGCAAACAAAAAAAAAAGTGGTTTAGTTTTACTTTTCGYTTAGTCACCACAAAATAAAATGCAGTCGCGGGTCAGGGACGACCCCGTCCCGAGCCCGAGTTTTCCGCCTCTCCAGGGCTGAGAGTTTGGTGAGTCACTTCGTTGAAGGCGCTTTGCAAAACCCTCTTATCTCTTTCGCCTCCTGCAACCGCTTTTCGTCCTCTTCCAACGCCGGGCTCAGAGCCTGGGGTGAAGTTGCCCATCCCCGGTTCTCCCGGGAATGGTCCGGGAAAAGCCGCCGGGTGACCACGAGAGAGGGGAGCGGTCTGCCCGGTCTGCGGGGATGCAGGCACTGAGCATCCGCAGGATCAAGCGGCTTCTCCCTAAAACACCCCGTCCCTCCCGGTGCCGACCTGGAAGCGAAGACAGGAAGGGAGATTTTCTCCGAGGCGTCGTAATAGATCATACAGTGTGTGACACGGGTTTAACCAATAAAACAATTTGAATCAATTAGCTGACGGAGGATAGTTTTGMAGTGTAAAATTCATGTCAGCCTGGCTAGGAAGCATTGATTAAAATGTCACCAATGTGAGGCTTATAGCCATTGCTCACACGAAAACAGCAGGCTCCGTGCAGGAGAGGATCGGGRAAAAGTAGGAGGGAGGGGAAAGGGGGAAGTCTCCGTGTGACARTTGTGACACGAGGGAGAGAAAGGCTTAATAAGAAGTGACAGAAATAATAAGGAGAGGTGAGATATTATATTATGATTATTATTATTATCATTAATAATAATAATAATAACAATAATAACAATAGTAATAATAATAATAATAGTAGTAGTAGTAGTAGTAGTAGTGAAGTTAGGCAGGACCCGAGCAACACCCAGAGAAGACAGAGTGTGAGCTTTAGTGTGGATATCCTGGGAAAAGTCGGTGCAGAGATTTTCGTCGGGATCTGTGATGTCCGAGAAAAAAAAAAAAAAAAAAAAAAAAAAAAAAAAA